ACAAAACATGCAACCGTTTAAAAGGACAAATAGGACATACATATTTTAAACAGTCCACAATTAAAATTCATAATCTGAATTTACAATTTAAAAACCATCTGGATAAGCCTGCTGGAAGAGCCTGATCTTCAATGCTGTTTTAAATTTTGACAATATACTCAGCTATTTAATATCTTCTGGCAGGTCATTCTACATTCTAGGGGAATTTCTTCTTTAACTTTTATAAAATAAAAATGTAAATTTCATTTTGTTTTCATTACTGAAAGCTGCCTTGGAGCCCACCCCAGGAAAAGGAGCACATACACGGTATACAATTACAGCACTGTATCCCACTATTAAGTGCCATGGGCATTGTTTTTTCTCTCAGCTTCTTCTGTCTTTACTTTCTCATGCAGCACAGCCCAATAACTGATTTATTGATATCCTTTTTTTTTAGCTTTGCTTCTTTTAATCCTCTTTGAAATGTGGAATACCAATTTTATAATAAATAAAGGTACCCCCCATAAGCAACATTAAAAATAATTAGTCCCCCTCCCATCTGTCACAACACTACTCCTCAGTCACCTTAGCAATTAGAAAATGTGACTTATACTAGACTATTTCAGATATACAGACATTTTAAAAAAGAAATAGAAGTAATTATGAGAAAAGAGAAATTATATATTTAGGTATTAATTGTAAAGTAAGTATCCCATTTTGAGAAAAAGGTGGAATATAAGTGCAATAAACTAACTAAATAAAAATAAGCATAGTACACAGTGAGATATGTAGCTGTATGTATTCCATTATTGTCTTAAAAAAAAGCTGTGTTGACTTCTGCCTAAAATGGTGCAATGACTTTGCATGACCATTAAAAGTCCTCACCATCTTTTCCCCTATGCTTCTACAAGCTCAGGATGGGACTTTCTAATGTTATCTTTGTTGAATATGTTGCAAAATTAGAAAACTAGCAAGGAGTCCTCTAATCGCAACAGGAATCCATGGGAGATCTCTTGGTTTTAGAAGAAATATTAATCTTTTGCTGCATTTAGGTCTGGAAAAAAAATATGAGAAACTGAATGCCCCATCTAATTTTTTTCCCCTTCCTTTTCTGACTCTCAACAGCCAACGTGACTCTGGATCCGAACACTGCGAATCCCCAGCTGGTCCTGTCCGAGGACCTTAAGGGTGCCTATGCCGGAGAGGAAATTCAAGATCTGCCCAATCACCCTGACAGATTTGACACATTGCCATATGTGTTAGGACGTGAGGGTTTTACAACCGGCAGGCATTTCTGGGATGTTCGCGTGGGAGGTGAAGGAGACTGGTCAGTGGGGGTGGCCAGGCAATCTGTAAGGAGAAAGGGTGTCCATGAATGCACGCCGGAGGAAGGGATCTGGGATGTAGGGAAGTGGGGTAGAACATACTGTTCTGCCCACTCTTTTCTTAACCCTCTGCCTCGGGGTGCAGTGCTCAAGAGGATCCGGGTGTGCCTGAACAGCACAGGGCAACAGCTGAGTTTTCACAACGCTGACACGGGAACACTGCTCTGTGCGTATTCAGCACTCCCATCCTCTGAGGACACCCGTCTCCCTTACTTTTCGTTGGCAGGAAAAGCCCACGTGGCAGTCTGGCCTTAAGGCTGTCCAAGGCTGCCACGTGTAGGTTTGCCACACTCTTCCCCTGCCCCCTCTAACTGTCTTTCCATTATTTTATTTGATTAGAGAACGACCTGTAATGGGTCCGGTTCCATAGTCTGGGGAAAAAAGAATGAACAACACTGTTGGCAACAGGAGGAGTTGGAGGTTTTTAATATATATAAACCTCTTTACCTGTG